GTCATTATACACAGTAACTGAAACTTAATTTAGATCAAAATCTTGCACTTCGTGATCAATTTTGTTTCATGTTTTTGATCACGCCATTTTTTTTTCTCAATGGAAGTTATCAATGAACGGTTTTGATTAAAACCGCATGACATCAAAAAGTAGGAATATTTTTGCTTAGTAGTCTGACATCTTATGATCAAAAGGATAACCGTTGACTAGACAAGTAGCTCAGAACATTACGGCACATGACACAAAGCTCCGGTACATAACACAAAATAAGTTAAAAATTGAAACGAAAAATGTTAAAATTTGAACTGTTTTATTTTCAAATTTGTGCCGTTTTCATGATTAATGAATTGAATTAAAACTAATTCGTCGTGAGACAGTTAGCCTCTATTTCAAATTGTATTTTTTTGCGATTTATTCCTAGAATCTGAATAATATCAGTTTATTTTATTCCAACAATTGAAAGGAGGAAGGAAGTTTTGTTTCCACGTAATTTTCAGTTTTTTTGCGCAAAATTAAGTACCACAAAAACTGATCGGAATGGGTTGGTTGATCTATCATTTTGAAGCTTCGTCAGCCGTGATTCGCACTACAATAGAAAGTTTTGAACGTTTTCACAGTGTCGGGAAAAAAGGTTTGAAACTTTTGTTTCGTCTTTCGAAAAAAGTATGGAATAATTACGCTTGGGGTGATTTTATATTTTGATGTTTTTCGACTTTTTAGCAACCCGTTTCTGATAAAATATATTTTTTACCATCTGAAAAAATATTGCTGTCCCGGGCTCAAAAATAAGAAAATCACCAGTGATTTCTTTTTATTACGGAATAAATCGTTCCAAAGTGACATCATCAGGAAAAACATTTAAAAAGTAGCTTTTTTGTATATTATTTTGTTTTTTTTTGGAATTTTTCAGGACTCCGCCTTGCAATACAAACCATTCTTTTAAAGAAAAGAAACAAAAAATTTGTGTTTTTTTCTGCTGACGTTTTAGCTGAAACCTTTTTTTTGTAAAGTTAAGACAATTTGAAAACAGTTTCATAAATTCAATATTTCTTTTATCTAGCTTCAACATTTCGTTAATCCGCTCCAAAACAATTCGGAATGAACTGCGGCAGGCTCAATTAGGCAAGTGACGTGTTTTAAGACGCAAATTTATCGGTTCTACTTTCGGAGTGTTTGTTTTTCTCCAGACAGTATTCGAATTTTTAACTGGTAATTTATAGTGTTTTTTTTTCTACATCAACCAAAAGTATTTTTGCCTTGAGCTCAAACTTCAAAATTATCTTACCTGTGTCTATTTTTCATAAGTTATTTCTGTTTAATTAAGGCGAGTTTGGCCAATTTGGGATAGTTACGCGCGATATTTTCCATGCTGCTTACGCATAAGTGGAGATTTAATTCGTCTTTGAAATTGCTTCAAACTGAATTTTGGCAAGCTTTCTGGTCTTTTTAATAATTTATTATATGCTAATTGTATCACCTTGTACTTAACATAACAAGTGGGTGGATAGTTTTACAAAAAGTTTTAAAAATTACTTGAGACAATTAAAATTTTTATTATTCAAAATGATCTCAAGTAATTTTTAAGACTTTTTCAAAACGTTAGTTTTACTTTAGTAAAATTAGTTCTCAAAGTATGTTTCAGCGCATTCTAAAACTTTGAAACAAAATGACAAAAGATTTCTTCAAAGTTTTGAATCATAAAATTATTTTGAATTATAAAAATTATACTTGTAGTCTCAAGTAATTTTTAAGACTTTTTCGAAATGTAAGTTTTACTTCAGTAAATTAGTTCTCAAAAGATGTTTCAGCGCATTCTAAAACTTTGAAACAAAATAACAAAAGTTTTCTGCAAAAATTTTTGGTACATTTTTTGATTTTCTTCTACCCAAGTTCTATTTTTTGTTCAGATCATCTAATCACGCCACGAATAAAAAGCGGCACACAGAAATACATAAGGTTTTTTCTTTATTTTTTTAAGAATTGTTCCTTATAAAGGGTCTTTACATTGCGTCTGGGCGAAGAAACTTCAAAAACAGAACTTTTTTTAAAAGTTCATTCATGTTTTGCAGAAAACTATCAACACTTTAAAAGGTTCGGTAATTCATGGCTTCGTGTTATATGAGCAGTATTGTTTTTATTTATCCGGGAAGATTTGTCTGAAAAGGTTCTTTCTGCAAAACACCTGACATGTCTGCCTCAAACATGCCAAAACCCCGTCGTTCAGCTCAGGTTTGGCAGATTGGATTAATTAACGCCTCAACAAGTTTGAGTCAAACAGAAGCCCGGCTTTTCCAATTTGATTTTGTAGCCCTTCACCTTTTCAGTTCATATAAGGGAATTATTTCTTCATGCAACATGCTTGCCCGAGTTGCCCGACTTTGTATTTAAATTATTTTGAGCAACGCTTTATCAGCAAAAAATTGGCCTCGATATAATTCGAATTGAGCCAAGCTGTTTGGTTCTGCTAATGCGGACTACTTTGAATGATTTAAATGCAATATATATATATATATATATATATATATATATATATATATATATATATATATATTCCTATTTTTTTTGTTTTGAAACAAGTTTTGACTTTGACAGAAAAGGAAATATTGAGAAAAAATGAAAAGCAGTTGGATTTTTCAATACCTCGAAACGATATGGAAAACTGGAACAGACAGAACAAAATAAAAAGAACAAATAGCCGATTTCAGATTGCTTTTTCATGCTAATGCTAATTTTCAGATAAAAGTAATGTCTCAAGGTCGGCTCAAAATTCCAATTTGCATGCAAAAATAGTTCAAAAGTGAAATATTGCTATTTTTAATTAATTCTGTTTGTTTCAACTTTCTGCAACGAAATAAAGCCATGCTTAGAACCAATAGAAAAAAAAGCTAAGAATTTAAAACGGTTCTCAAATTGGAAAGTATAATAAAAACTGTCGAAAGTATAATAAAAACTGTCGAAAGTATAATAAAAAATGTCGAAAGTATAATAAAAAATGTCGAAAGTATAATAAAAAATGTCGAAAATATAATAAAAACTGCAGAGAATTTGAGAATTTGATTGCAAAGAACTTGATTAATTTTTGGTTGCAAAGAAACCAATTTTTCATTTCGACACGTTGGTACAAATGGGACTTTTTCAAGAGTTTTTTTCTGAGTGATTAAAAAACTTTTGAAGTATTCTGGGCTTCATTAGTAGAGAATTTAGGATATGGCGGAAGGGGGGGTTGCACAACTTTCTCAAGGAATCGACCCCTCCCCCTGCCACCGCACCATCGTTGGTACTTCTCTACGATGTATCCATTTTCAGCTGACTGACCCAAAAACTTTTCTAAAAGGACCTTTGGCGCCAAAAAATAGAGGTTTTGAGGGAGAGCGCGTGCCGAAAAATTGCGCTTTTTTGATCAAAACCTCAACGTCGTTTTTGGCCAGTTTTTTCCGAATTTCGCCGAATGAGGTTTGGAAAATACTCCTTGAGAAATCATTCATCCGCGCCTAGGTTGGCTTGTGAATAGGACATTTAAACTCATGCAAAGACAGAGAAAACAAATATCATAACTTTTTCAGCAAATGATAAATTTTTAATTTTCCAAAACCGTGACTGAAATATCCAAAAAGCCGAAGAGCCAACAACCCAAAGTTTAGATAACCATCTCGGGCCAAGGTCCGCGAGTTATTTTGCGGCCTGGTTGAGCCGCTGAATCTTTCCACGACTAAAAAATCATAATCCCGCAAGAGGATTGAGTCGCGCAAAGTCGCAACATGGGTCGCTGAATGCCATAACATGGGTCTCACAAAATTGCAGCATGGGTCGCTCAAAGTCGCAGCATGATTCGCTCAAAATCGCAACATGGATGGCGCAAAGTTGCAACAAGGTTTGCACAAAGTCGCAACATGAGTCGCGCTTTATGAGAAAAATTTTGAGCAATTTTATTAATGGATTTTTTTTATCGATATTTTGGATTGTGAAATTGTAAAACAGTTGCAAATAGCAAAATAAGCCAGTATGTATGCTTTTTCGATGTGAAATTAGCTAGACCAGCATATTTAATGAGCTTATACAGACCATGGGAAGGCATACACATGGTCTCAACATCAAATATAAGTTAAAAGCATTTTTTTGAAAAACACAAAAATCCCAGCCGAAAAATTGCTAGAAAACAATCAAACCAAGCAATGAAAAACCAATTTAAAACAGTCATCAAATAAATAGGATTTTTAAGCGACAAACAGCTAACACTTACCTTGAAACTAAAAACTATTTTAATTTTAATTAAATATTTTGTCAGATTCTTTGTCTGCGAGTTTGAAAAACAATTGCGAATAACAAAATAAGCCAATACATATGTAATTTAATTGAGTGCATGAAACAGAATTAAACAGTGGTGCATGAAACAGGTCCATTATATTAGAAATAATCTGCCCTGGTTTCTTCGGTAAATCTGCTTAAAACTTCTGTCCTTGGCGCTGTGGCTGCGACTTGAACCTAAAAAACTCGCATTGAAAATGATACCCGTCATCACTTGAATCTCTGTAATCATCAATTTTTGGACTTTCCGCTGCGTTACCAGGAATGCAGCGTATCTTTTTTGGGTCGCGCAAAGTCGCAACATATCTTTTTTGAGTCGCGCAAAGTCGCATCATATCTTTTTTGTGTCGCACAAAGTCGCAAAAAATTTCTTCGTTCGCGCAAAGTCGTACCATACCCATTTTGAGTCGCAACATAAGTCCTCTACCTCGGCCCGGGTTCCAACTAGCCAAAAATAACTTATTTTATGCAACATTACAACAGATTGTCACCATTTTCATGCAATTGTTACGCAATTCTGGTGTAATTAATGTTAATCCAATGTTTTTTCGACTTCATGATAAGGCAGTTTTTTTTATAAATGGCGGATTGTTAAGCATCCACCGAAATATCACACTAATATTCAGATTTTTGTATACTGGCTCCTGATTGGCCAATTCTTTCTCCCACGTGTACTGATTAGCATGTCTTTTTAGGATTCAAGACGAGCTGTACTTTCGACTACATGAGTCGAGACCTGAACAAGAGGACGTTTCTGGTGTTCATGTATTTGATGGGCTTCGTCTGTCCTCTCATCATCACCATCTTCTGCTACTGGAGTCTGTTTGACTACGCCAGGAACTGTGTCGTTCCGGGAGACGACGCCTCCCGCATCCGACACCAGGTATTGAAAAAATTACATAAGTTTTTCTTGTCTTACACAAATTGAAGTGCATATGTTTTCATTATTACAGCATGCTTTGCTCTTTTCGGGTCTCCATAACAATCACGGTAGGTTCCAGTAAGTCAAAATCTTTTAAATTACGCTCACATATCTATTGAAAGTTTTACTTGCTTCGAGTTATTTGGGCTAAAAAATTTTTTATTATTTTTCTACAGGTGAGGTTCAACCATCAGACCCTCCACGCTTTAAAACTAGAAAACAATTCCGAAACATTTTGTTTTTTTCATTTTTAATAAAACTCATTTTTTTTTGCTTTTTATTTTTTTAATAGCAACACTGTTTTCATCGCAAACTCCCGATTTGCACATAAAAATGCGTATCTTGTCTTAATGTGATTTTGATATTGAGCGGTCAACGACAATTTGAGTACCTCTAATATTGTCATGCGATGTACATCAAATCTTTTCTGGAAACTTTTCAGGAAAAAAAAACCAAGGAAGTCAGATTATTCCTTCAGGAAAAATCCAGGGGATAAAATTAAAACAGTATACACATTTTTCCCGTAACTAAAAAACCCTGCGATTTACCATCAAAACTTGTTTTATGGGGAGCGACGAAAAAATGACTTATTGATCCGCCCATTGGAAATGGGGAGAAACTTTGCATTTAGGTGTGTTTTAGTTTTATCTTTTTTGTTTGTTAAAAAAAAACAGGTACCACAAATTATCATAGGGAAGTGCCCAGTTACATATCATAATGAAGTCCTTTCCGTCGTGATTCGAACGGCACTAAAAATTTTAAAATTTTGAATAAAGTTTCTCAGTATCGAGAAAAACTCTTTTGAATTTTGATTTAATTTCAAGCGAATAAGCTGAGTTAATTTTCATGCTTAATTTGAGCCGTGAAAATTTAGTTTTGTTTGAGTAAAATTGGTTTTTGGAGTTTGTTTGCGCCATTTTTTTTTTAAAAAATTAAATTTATCATATGTAATTTTTCTTTCTTTTTCTTTAAAAACTGTTTTTCAGTTTGCCTATTTTATTATGACCGTGGAAGTGCCTAAATTCTACAAAAAAAACTTTTGTTTTTTAAGGCTATGTTCGGAACATTCTGGGCTACTTGCACAGTAACCGGGTATCTTTGATCAAATTTGTTGGATCTTTAAAACTTAAGAACACTTAATTTTTGTATTTTTTTGTTTAATGATTGTGGAATTTTATGATGAATATTCACAAAACTCAACATATAATCTTAAATTGAATCAAAAAGTATCCTTAAATATTGATCATAAAAACTGCCACACACATTCGGCGAAAACTTAACAAAAAACCAAACAGCTTATCGTAAAGAACAACATGATGTGTTTCAGCAACAGCGTGAAATCAGCCTGGCTAAGGTGTCCATTCTAAGTGTGGGTCTGTTTCTGCTGGCCTGGATGCCCTACGCGCTAGTGGCCCTGATTGGCCACTTCTGGGGTCCAAGACATCTCAACCCATATGCATCCACCATCCCCGCACTGTTCGCCAAGAGCCAGTGTATCTACAACACATTCGTGTATGGCTGTGGACATTCCAGCTACAGGTATGGCCACTATTCACAACCATGAGAATATTCAGAAAAATATTATGTATCAAATAATGCGGTGGCTTACAGATCTTTTGAGAGTAAATAAACCAAACGAAGTATATACAAATTAAAACGCGCCGAGTATATAAGCCATAGCTGAAACGCTACATCATATAAATAACTTTGCAAAACTTTCGTAACTGTTACATAATTGTTACATAACACTTACGTATTTTGGGCTGGTTTGTACTTCGATTGGTTTATATACCACCAGCATTTTTGTATAGAGCAAAAACTCAATAGGGCCATGTGAACAACCTCCCCCCTCAACCCAAAAAGATCAAGTGAACAAGGCCCCCCTTAAAATTTTAAACCTGTAAAGAAGAACTTTAAACCTGTAAAAATTAATTTTAAAATCAATTTTTCAATTATAACCTTTATGTCAAGACCAATTTAAAATTTGGGACAAAGTTAAAAGCCTGTTCCCTAAAGCAATTTAAGGATTTAAGATTTGTTTTTTTTTATTAGATTTCCAGCCAACCAAAACTAAAACTTTTTATGCAGAGCTAAACAAATCTAATCCAAATTATATTTTGGGTTGGAGAGTCTTAAGATGTTCAAATCAAATGGAAGATATTAAACTGACCCTCAAAAATTTTAAGTAAACAAGCGGTCAAATAGCTACAGAGTGTGGGGTCATAGCGATTAGTAAGCTAAGCGATAAGCTTCAGCGAATAGCTTGTTGGTCCGACTTTCGATACGAAAGTAACGGAATATTTGTGCTCGGGGTGGGTTTTTTTTTCTTCAGACAAATTTCGACTTTTTAACTAGCCATGTTTGACGGAATTTTTAATAGCATTCGAAAGTTATTGTTGTCTTGAGCTCAAATGTGAAAAGATATTTGACTTGTGATCATTTTTCGTAAAGTTACGGGGGTTTGAAGATTGCCATTTTGGCCAATTTGGGACAATTAACGCGCGATACATTTCGCGCTATTAACGCGTAAGCGGTGAGTTAATCCGTCTTAGAAATTGTTCCAAATTGGTTAAAAGAAGCTTATTTGCCATAATTGGTTTGTTACAAGGAGCAAAATTTATCCTTTTAAACTTTATATGGCGTGTGGGGGGATAATTTTCAAAAAAATTTTCAAATTTTAGAATTTTTTTTTTTCATTTTGTCTTATTTCATTGAATTTTTTAATGTTATTACTGCTACATAAACCTTAAAAGGCACTCGGAACATTCAGGGCTTCGCCCTGATACGAGCAGTCTTGTTTCAATTTATTATTGTTCCGACTTTCGATACGAAAGTGACGGAATATTTGTGCTCGGGGTGGGTTTTTTTTTCTTCAGACAAATTTCGACTTTTTAACTAGCCATTTTTGACGCAATTTTTTTACATCATTCGAAAGCTATTGTTGTCTTGAGCTTGAATTTGAAAAGATATTTCACCTGTGATCATTTTTCGTAAGGTTATGAGGGTTTAAATATTGCCATTTTGGCCATTTTGACCAATTTGGGACAATTAACGCGCAATATAATTCGCGCTATTAACGCGTAAGCGGAGATCTAATCCGTCTTATAAATCGTTCCAAATTGGTTGAACGAAGCTTATTTGCCATAATTGATTTGTTACAATGAACGAAATCTATCTTTTTGTACTTTATATGGCGTGTGGGGGGATGATTTTCATTAAAAAATTTCAAATTTAAGAAAAAAAAATTTCATTTTATTTTATTTCATTTCATTTTTTTATGTATTACTGCTGCTCAATAAACCTCAAAAGGCAGTCGGAACATTCAAGGCTTCGCCCTGATACGAGCAGTCTTGTTTCTTTTTGTCATCTTTTCGGCACCGTTATACTTAGGCACTGTTTTACTTCCACCAAAGTTGTTAATCAGCAGAATTTTTTTATGATTTTAGTAGGAGAAATAAGATTCCAATTTAACATTTGACTCAAAAATCAATTAGCTTCAACAACCGAACGTCAATGCCCCGTTACCAGTGTACATCTCGACACTCTGTTTGCTGCAAAAACTTATTTGCAAAGCACGTCATATCCAGTTCTACGCTAACTATGGCTTTGGACCAAGTTTCTTGTGCGGCATAATTCGTAACGCAAAAATAGTTTGCGTTACGCTTTCAGCACTATGAAAAAAATCTTCAAAACTTAATTCAGAGCATGACCAAATTGGCAAATTTCAAACACCTGAAATTTTACAAAAAAGATCGTAGATAAAAAATCTGTTTAGATTTGATTTCAGGGAGAAAATATCTTCTATGGCCTAAACAAATTATTTGTTAAAAACTAATACTTCGACTGCCAAAATTGACGGAATAAAAAACCATTCCAAGCATAAAAATTCCGTTTTCTTCGAAAGTCGGATTAACCAGTAAAAAATTTTGCATTAAAAAAAAGGTCAAAACGTCAAGTAATGCAGGTCAAAAATATTTTCCATCCCTTTCTTCAAGTTTTGTAAAACCAGACTATGCGAAAACTCTGTCAATACCAAGTCAAGCAGAACATAGGCTACTTTTAAGTTACGAAGGGTCGAGCACCACTAGAGATCCGCTATTGGGGTCCATATTTTAAGTTTAGTTTTAAATTTTTTTTTGAGAAGTAGGAAGCAACAGTTGCATGTAATGAGACTAATTCACTGGCTTGGAAATTTTCTAATATATCAAAAACTAAGGAGAAATTCATTTCCTTTTTTATCGGTTCATTGGAAACTGAATGATTTTTTCCCAGAAAAAAACCAGATTTTAATTTAAATCAATGTTTGTTGAGGTCTTATTAAATTGTCTCTTAATTTACAACTGCATTTTTATCTAAACAAAAAGGAGTATCTAGTTTTCATATTTTAACCAAAAGAGTAACATTTATTGTTTAGATTTCGTAAAATAAGTGATAATTTTCCAAAATTTTCGGCTAATCAAACGTGCATTTTGATAAGGTGCACCCGAATACGATAAGTTGCACTAATTTATACTAATTTTTAGGGAGCAGCTCGAACTTGTTGGCGAAATTGGTTCTTAATCGTTGTTTTTTAGAAGAGCTCGGAAAATCAATTCAATTGAGCTAAATTTTGACAAATCATGTGCACGTCTTTTTACTATTTTCGTGGAAATTAGCTGAAATCACAATTTTATGTTTCAATGAAAACATATAGGGGTAATAGTTATGCTGGTAATCAGTTTTATATTCTCAGCATTTTCGGGCACCGAAAGTAATTTTTGGTGCGTGTAATCGATTTCCTGTCATGCCAATGATAGTGAGTGAGGACGAGATCTCACATGAACTCAAGCTTCTGGTCCACCAGCGCCTGATCAATTACGGCTGCAGTAGTGGTACCACGTGAAATTTCAAGACGCAAAAAATGACTTTATCTTGTGGAAAAAAGAGGTCAGCTCTACAATATGACTCAGTTTAGGATGTGAAGAATTAAAAGAAACGGACTTAAAAGAAATCACAATAATGCCAATTCGACTGAGCTTGTGGATTAATATACGCGCGCATTTACGAATTTGTTGTTCCGATTTTTGCAGACACTTTACCTCCGATCATTTTTTGCAAAATTTTTCGGTTTGCAAAGTGCCAAAATGGCCATGCTCTGGACTTGCTAATGCGCACTTTGAAGTTTTTATTCATAATGCTGGAAGCGTAACGCGAGTTAATTATGCGTGGTGAATAATCGAGCAACACAGAATCTGGAACCAGATATAAACTATATTCATTCTTTGGTTATAAATTGAATATTTTATCTCTATAAAATATTTTACATTAACCAATCACGGTCCATCTAACTAACAAACCACTTATTTGTAAGTGCTGAAATTACTTGTAATTTCAGCACCAGAGAGATTTGAATTTAACTTAGAAATTAGTTACCTCTCCCAGAGAACTTTAGCAATCGCAATAAGCCAGTATACTCTAGATCTATTGAGCCTAGCAGAGACTAGTTAAACACCCTGAGACTAGTAGATATAAGAGTAAGATTATGATCGGTATTAGACTAAGAAGTTGCACGAATCTATCCGGCCGAAAATAAGATAGCGTGACGAGCAGACGGTGTACCCTATCCGAAATTACTCTATGAGTTACACCTTGAACTTAACTCATCTGGTGCGACCAGTGAGGCTCGATCAAGACATTAAAAACAAATTAGCTTAGAACTAACAACATTTTATAAAATGTAAGTTATAATATGCAGTATATAGATCACGAACAACCACAAGAACGAGCATCTAAAGACTAGACGACCCCATCACACTCAACCTACAGAATGGCTAAAAACAACTGACATGCCGCTCACAATCACGACTCATAAAGAATTTAGAGTACGACTTGACTTCGCAGAAAAGGACTTCATTGAATCAGACCAATGACCACCTCGATGTTCAAGTATACGTACAGATCCGAGTTACAAGGCATCCCCTCCAAACACGATCTTCACGCCATTCCCAAACCAGATCGAAACACAGTTCTACACAACCAATCAAGAAAGAACAGACGATCATAACAAACCATCTTGAAATCAGATTGATTTCTTTGACAGCCAAAGCCTTTGTCAAACGATAACTAATAACTTCCTATCGATGACTCCAGCTTCCTGGAACTTTCTTCTCCAAGAACAAAACAGGAAATGATGCTCGTCAAACGACAACGACCAACATCCATCTTTCATTACAGATAGAAGATCTAAGATTTAAAACTCTGTAAACCCCGGATGGGTGGAACCAGATATAAACTATATTTATTCTTTGGTTATAAATTGAATATTTTATCTCTATAAAATAATTAATATTAACCAATCACGATCCATCTAACTAACAAACCACTTATTTGTAAGTGCTGAAATTACTTGTAATTTCACCACCAGAGAGATTTGAATTTAACTTAGAAATTAGTTACCTCTCCTTGAGAACTTTAGCAATCGCAATAAGCCAGTATACTCTAGATCTATTGAGCCTAGCAGAGACTAGTTAAACACCCTGAGACTAGTAGATATAAGAGTA